TTCTTCTTCTTCTTCTTCTTCTTCTTCTTCTTCTTCTTCTTCTTCTTCTTCCTCTTCCTCTTCCTCTTCCTCTTCCTCTTCCTCTTCCTCTTCCTCTTCCTCTTCCTCTTCTTCTGTCCTGCCAGAGGGCCTGTGGGGGATGAAACCGGCCTGCCCAAATCTCGCTTCTGAGTTCAGACCAGCTTACCAAAAATTTACCTGCACGCATACAATTTTTTTGTTTACATTTTTGACCGTTTGTGCAGGAGACGCTAACCACTAGGCTCTATCCCAGGAGTTCCTCAGGGTGCTGCTGCTCTTCTGGATCTCACCCAGATCTAGGGCTTCCGATTCTGGGTTGGTAAAGACTTGGAGATTTGGGGGGGTGGAGCCTGAGGAGGGCAGGGTTTGGAGAGGGGTGGGACTTCAGCGGGGGATAGTGCCCTAGAGTCCACCATCCAAGTGGCCATTTTCTCCAGGGGGAGTGACCCCTGTCATCTGGAAATAGGGTCGCCAGCGCCTGGTTGGGAAATACTTGAAGAGTTGGGGGTGGAGCCTGAGGAGGGTGGAGTTTGGGGAGGGGAGTGGCTTTGGTGGGGTACAATGCCGTAGAGTCCGCCCTCCAAAGCGGCCATTTTCTCCAGACGAAGTGATCCCTATCACCAGGAGATCAGTTGTAAACGCAGGAGACCCCCCCCCAGTTGCCACACGGAAGTCGCGAACCCTTCCCGGATCCCAGAACTTCTGTTTTCAAGAGTGGCGAATACGCCGTCATTCGAATTCCCTATCCCACATCACCACCACGGCCCTCTTCTACTCACCACCTTTACCAGCTGAGACAGGGACACCTCGAACCAGATAATGACCGGGTCGGACACATTCTCCACCGGCCTGATGATATTATTGTAGTTCGCAAACAGTTCTTCGTAGAGCCGGTGTTCGGCTTCCGAACAGCAGCCGCCTGTGTGGAGGGTGGGGGAACAGAAGGAGGGAAGGACAGAAAACACCACCGAACATCTTGGCTTAGGGTTCTGCAAACCACCTCGGGAACATTCACGTCCTCCACGGCAATTTTCCGCGAAAATTAGATCACGGGCTATTAGCCTTCCGCCGCCGCTCCCACCCAGAGTTCTTTCTCCTCCACAGATACAGGAGACAGACGCAAATTAAGCCGAAGAAAGTAATCTGGGGAATCATTACTCAAGCGCGCATGGACCCAATTGTGTTTCTTAGACGCCCGGGCAGCAGTGGAAGAAATGCCCAGCCGATTGTCTGAGCACAAGAGACGATGTACGTTTAAACTATAGAATGAGTGTGACATGGGAGGTCAGGTCTTCCTTGGTTTATTTGTTTTGTCTCTCTCGATTGTCAGACTGAGGGCAATTCTGCATCTAGCGTTCGTTCCGCATTTTCTCAACTGGGAAGAAAAAGTGCAGCTCAAAACCACATTCAAGTACCCCAGGCCAAGGTACCGACTGCAAAGTCACCCCTGAACGGCCATCAAAAGGCCGTAAATCTATACAGAAGGTACCATAAAACCCGACAATCAAAGGAAGCAAAAGCAGCATGGAGTGTGGAGATCTTCGGCGTGCCAGGCAGATGCTCTACCACTGAGCCAGAGCCCCTCAGCCATAATACATAAGCACATGAAGCTGCCTTCTACTGAACCAGACCCTTGGTCCATCAAAGTCAGTATTGTCTACTCAGACTGGCAGCCGCTCTCCAGGGTCCCAGGTGGATGTCTTTCCCATCCCCTCCTGCCTGGTCCTTTGAACTGGAGATGCCGGGGATTGAACCTGGGACCTTCTGCATGCCAGGCAGAGGCTCTGCCACTGAGCCAGGGCTCCAGATCAAGGTCTTTCCCATCCCCTCCTGCCTGGTCCTTTGAACTGGAGATGCCGGGGATTGAACCTGGGACCTTCTGCATGCCAGGCAGAGGCTCTACCACTGAGCCAGGGCTCCAGATCAAGGTCTTTCCCATCCCCTCCTGCCTGGTCCTTTTAACTGGAGATGCCGGGGATTGAACCTGGGACCTTCTGCATGCCAGGCAGAGGCTCTGCCACTGAGCCAGGGCTCCAGATCAAGGTCTTTCCCATCCCCTCCTGCCTGGTCCTTTTAACTGGAGATGCCGGGGATGGAACCTGGGACCTTCTGCATGCCAAGCAGATGGTCTGCCACTGAGCCACGGTCCCTCCCACGTCCTGCAGACCTTCAGGTCTGTCCCAGTGCATAGCCGTCTACACAAGGGGCCTTCCTAGAAACTCAGCACAGAGTCTTCTTTTCCGCTCTCACACCTAATCTCATGGTCCACAATTCTTGTCTTTGTTTCAGACCTGTCTGCCTAGGTCAATTGCAATTTTATAGTTAACAAAACGTGATCCTTTGTTCAGACAATTCCTTAAATAACTGGATCTCTGCTAGCCTTTCAGGTAAAAGGAAAGCCAGCACGTCCCAATCCTGACAATTAAGGTACGATAATATTTATCCTCGGATGAGTTTCATCCATTGCCGATACTTAGTGTCCAGCCTTCGAAAGGTCAGACAGCATAAGGTTTAAAAAATCTCTTATCTTCTTGCTCGCCCAGAGAAAGAAAGAACTGCAGCCATCTCCTTGCTGCTAAGAGAGGAGGGTTTGGTGACAAATCTGGAGCTAACTTATATAGAAACGTTAAACCCTACAAAGGCGTAGGGTTAAAGAAGGCAGCTTTTTGCCCTGCCAGAAGTTTAGCCCGTTACTTTTGCAGATGATTTATTAATACCCCGTATTTCCATTTATAGGCCTTGGCCTATATATATAGAACCATTTCCTTGGCATTCATCCTTTTGGCTGTCGTTCGCATTCTTGACCCTTTTTGGCCCACGTCCCTAGTGAGCTGACCCCAAAACAAACGAGGTCTCTTTCCATGCTCAAGTCTAATCGGTCGTGTTTTGTTTCCCCTCCCCTGCAAAATTCCGATTGGGAAGCCGAAATTCCGAATCTACCCGAAAGGCAAATAACAAATAAGCAGCTAGAATCCTATTTGCAACGTGGAGGACACTGAAAATCCCAACGCTTGATGAGTTGATAGTGAAGATGTGCTGAAATGGGCCGATTGACAAATATACTGAAAGGAAAAATGGAAGAAGAATGTATGGGACCGTGGAGGGTGTTCTATGACTGGTTAAAGCATAAGTACTGAGAAACTAAGATGGGGAACCATAAGAAAGGTGGACATGATAGTTGTGAAACTTTTATGAGAACAGTTGCATGCAGAATGTCAAATTGGCTTTTTTAATCTATATAACTCTGTATTCTTTCTTTTCCCTTCTTTCCCCTTTCTGAATATGAACTAATTTTAAAAAAGGCAAATAACTGGGTTCCGGATCAGATCGATCATTAGCAATGTCTCCATACAGTTCATGAACAATACGGCTGTTCCTGCCCCCTGCTACACAGTAGAATCTTCCGATGCATGAAAGTCGCCCACCCTTGCTTTATTTCAGTGATGTGCAAGAACCGCTCGGCGTTGCCGAGTCAGCCTGTTTGCTTGCAGATGGGGAGACCGCAAACAGGTGCAGCCCGCCAATGAATCTGGATTTTTACGGCGCACCGTCAAATCCATCATAGTGATTCAAGGCCGGCCGGCGTTCGGTGCCAGGGCTGGGTGTGTTTGTAACCAACCCCCACCCTCTCCCGTTCTGCCAAGAGGAAGACAGAAGGCTCCCTTACCTTTCAGGAAGAAGTAAATAGCAACAAGCAGGAGCAGACAAACCGGCCTCCCCATGGCTTTTCGATTCACCGCTCGTCAAGAGAGCCCGGCGGAGACGGCTTTAGCTGGCAGCATTGCCCAGAGATCTGGAAAAGGAGACAGCCTGAATTCTGACAGATTTAATACTGGCAACGGGCAGACAGCGGGACCCTGAGAAACAGTCCAGTGTTGGAAACCTGCCTTAATATTTTACAGCCCTGCCCCTTTTTTCTGGCTGTCCGCATGGATGAAGAGGAAAATCCCAGACTAAGTAAGCCATAAGCACCGAGGCACTCATCGCCTGCCCTCCTAGGAAAAAAAGGGGGGCCTCCCATTGATGCATACGCAAAGCCGGTAATCTGATAACATTAAGAGCTCGCCAATTGGCTCATGTGCAGGATTTGAATTGTCCTCTCGGCTTCCGTGCCAAGCATTTCGAACAAGGTCCAGTTTAATGAAAATGGGGATAATTGGATTCTGCGTGAAATGGATATTGACACAAGAGAGTCTTGGGTTTTCGTACAGCGTCCGGAGGAGCCCTTTGGAGCAGGGGGCAACCCAGCCGAACATGGTTAGCGGACTAGTTGATGCGGGGACCAGATATTGAGGGATGTGTTTTCTTGTACGGATAGCGGGTGTGGAAAAGGAACGACGGAGAAAGTTGATTGGAAGAAGGCAGAGCCTGGTTCGGCATGTGGCATTTGCTCCACGTTTTCTCGACAATGGGAGATTCTGCATTGGCTTTTCCTTCTGTTGTTTTAGCAAACCCACGTTGGAACAGAAATTCCCCTCTGCATTGCACGCCGCTTTCGCTTCCTTTGACCATCGGATTTTATGGTACCCTCTGCACTGCATGCCGCTTTCGCTTCCTTTGATCATCGGATTTTATGGTAGCCTCCACACTCCATGCCACTTTCGCTTCCTTTGTTCATCGTGTTTTATGGTACCTTCTGCATAGATTTATGGCTGTTTTATGGCCATTCAGGGGTGACTTGGCAGTCAGTACAGCGTTGGCCCCGGGGGTATTTGAATGTGGATTTGAGCTGCACCGTTTCCTCAGTGTCGAGAAACTGTGGAGCTGGGGGGGTGAGGGGAACCCGGGGGATTGTTGATGTTATTTTTAATGTAGGTTTTTCAAATATTTTTTTTTAAAAAAAGAGAAACTGTGGAGCAAATGCCAGATGCAGAACTGAATAAAAGGTACAGCTCAAAACCACATTCACATACCCCGAGGCCAACACCATTCAGCCACCCCGAACATCCATAAATCCATGTTGAAGGTACCATAAAATCCGGTGATCAAAGGAAGTGAAAGCGGCATGCAATGCAGAAGGTACCATAAAATCCGATGGTCAAAGGAAGTGAAAGCGCCATGCAATGCAGAGGGTAGCATAAAATCCGGTGATCAGAGAAAGTGAAAGTGGCATGCAATGCAGAAGGTACCATAAAATCCGATGGTCAAAGAAAGTGAAAGCGGCATGCAATGCAGAGGGTACCATAAAATCTGATGGTCAAAGGAAGTGAAAGCAGCATGCAATGCTGAAAGTACCATAAAACTCAGTTATCAAAGAAAGTGAAAGCGGCATGCAATGCTGAAGGTACCATAAAATCCGATGGTCAAAGGAAGTGAAAGCGCCATGCAATGCAGAGGCAGAGGTCATTTCGGGGGGGGAACGCAGTTCCCCCGGGTGAGGTACGGGGGGCGGGGCACATGACGAAGCCCCGCCCCCTGCTTCCGGCCGCCCCGCTTCTGGCCCTCATTCAGCCAGGAGGAGGCAGGAGAAGAGGGAGGGTAAGTTGCTTCCTCCCTGCCTCTCCCCACCCCTGCCTGCCTGGGGCCAGGGAGGGCCTTCCAGGGCTTCCTTGCACTCCTGCTGGCCTTGCAGGTCCACCGCTGGGCCCCTCATGGGGCTCGGCAGTGGAGCAGCAAGGCTGGCGGTGGCGGCCGGGACCGTTGGGGGCGGGGTGTGTGGCCTTATGACACACTTCCGGTGATGTCAGGGGTGTGTGGCCTTATGACACACTTCCGGTGATGTGAGGGGGTGTGGCCTTATGACACACTTCCGGTGATGTGAGGGGGTGTGGCCTTATGACACACTTCCGGTGATGTCAGGGGGTGTGGCATATGCTAATGAGTTATGCTAATGAGCTCCCCTAGCTCTTTTTCTACGAAATGACCCCTGTGCAGAGGGTACCATAAAATGCAGTTATCAAAGAAAGTGAAAGCGGCATGCAATGCAGAAGGTACCATAAAAGCCGATGGTCAAAGGAAGCGAAAGCGGCGTGCAATGCAGAGCGGAATTTCTGTTCCAACGTGGGTTTGGTAAAACAACGGAGGGAAAAGCCATTGCAGAATCGCCCTGATTCATTTGAAATCTGGTGCCAGAGGGGAGTTTGATGGACACTGTGGACGGCTGAGAAGGCCACTAAATGGGTCCTGGATCAAATCAAACCCGGACTCTCCCTCGAAGCCAAAATGACTCAACTGAGGATTGAGTGGACGGCAGCAGCGAAAGAGGAAGGGGTGTCATAGAGAGGAGGGTGCGGAGCTGTTTCCTGTTGCCCCAGAATGTCGGACCAGAACCATCGGGCTGAAATTAAATCAAAA